CTTTCCCAATTTTAAAACATTCAGTGTTCCCATGCTCTGTTCAAACAACTGCTTCTTGGTCCAGGTACAGATTCCTCAGAAGTACAATTAAGTGTCGGAAGCCATCCCATCAAGGAACGGAAAGGCGAGAGACCCTAAGCATGAAAAGCTCATTGTTTAGCAAAGTGACAATGAGTGTCTCCTTGGCTGGCAAAGCCCCAAGGGGAACCTAATGCAAGGGTCTTGCAGTTTCTGTTTTTTCCTTTTATGAATAGTTTATTTTTTATTTTTCTTGATTTTATTATAGAAGTTTTTAGTAGACTTTTTCAATAATCATAGTAAAAATTAAAATTACATTTAGACACCCTCACACTAAATTTAATCATGTAAAGTTATAGTAGTTGCTGTTTACATCAACAATAAGTCTCACCATTAGGAAAAGCCACATCAGCTAAAAGCTTTTCAAGTTTAAGATTACATCCTGTTAAGTAGACACTGAGGCACCTGAAAGAAACAATCTTACAATCAACATCCTGCTCAGTCGGTAGAGCAAGAGACACTGAGGCACCCGGAAGATAGCAAAGAGCCAATCAAGAGCTGTAGGAACTCATAGGAAGGTGGGTAGACATTTAACTAAAGGTTTTGGGAAATTATTAGTATAGAGGAATTGCTGCTTTGTTTTTGACTATGAAACTTTAGGTACTTTTCTAAAAATACTGTTGTGATATCGGACTGTGATTAATGAAGCTATAAGAAGTGGTAGATGAGAGTAAAAATGCAAGTTAAAATATAGAATTTTGCTTAAAAGTTGATTTGACATTCTTGGGAGGATTAGAGAAGAACAAAAAGAGTTACTGAAATAAACCCGATGTTATCAGGATAATTAGGGGATAGGATAAGAATCAAGGGAGTGTTCTGATGTTTCCTTTTTGTTGTAACCTGAATGTTTGTTGAACACAAAGAATGTAATACTTAGTTAAATTGCAATTGATTGTACATGACTATAGAGAAATCGTAATAGTATATAAGAAGCAAAAAACTTTTGAGTAGAGAGAAGTCATCTGCCTAAGTAAAGAGAAGTCATCATCATCTGCCTAAGACTCACGACCCAATGACTCTGTGTGTGTGTTTTTCACCGACTCCATATCCCCCTCCGAGCTCTCACAAATTGTCGAGGATGGTCCCCGGCAATTAAGTGTTCTGGAATACTCATACTTTGCAATGTTGTCCATAGCTTGTCATGATCCACACAATCAAAAGCCTTTGCATAGTCAATAAAGCATAGGTAAACATCTTTCTGATATTCTCTGCTTTCAGCCAAGATCCATCGGACATCAGCAATGATATCTCTTGTTCCACAGCCTCTTCTGAATCCAGCTTGAACCACTGGAAGTTCTCTGTCAATGCATGTACCTTTAGAAGCCATGTGGAGATTACCAAGGTATTGAGGACCCTACCCAAAAGTCAACAAAGAGAAGTTTCCTCTAGAGCCAGTGCTCTGAATTCAGACTTCTAGTCAGTTAAACACTGAGAAAATAAATTCCTATTCATTAAAAGTTACCTACTTTCAGTGTTTCTGTTACAACAGCACTTGGAAACCAAGATAGGACTCAACAGAAATTCCCAGGAGTCTCCAGGATAGTGGAGCCATAGGATAGGAGAAGCCTGGTCCCTTCATCACTCTTGAAGAAGAAATTGCTTGAGACAGCTGCCTAACATGGAACACCAATATAGGGTTTGTCAAACAACAAATAAACTATCATAGTGTTAAACCCTAAAGAATTTTGAGTTGCTTATTTATAACAACATCTTCAGTCTACTATTAATTAAAAAGAGAAAAACCAAACTCTAGTAGACATGCCCTTAACTGAGTGTCCAGGGTTAGCATCACCACTAATAAGACATATCAATATCATGTGCCACCTAATGTCATACCCTGAGAGTACACTTCCTTTCTGTGGCATCCTTGTCCGAAATGCATAGTCGCAATCTCATAATGAGAAAATTTCAGATAAATTCAAATTGAGAGACATCCAGAAAAGAACTCAACATTTCTTCTAAATTATCAAGGTCTTGAAAGAGAAAGAACTGCCACTGATTGGAGGAGATTAAGGAGACATGAGAATTAAATACAAAAAACTGGATCCTAGGCCAGTAAAATGACATGAGTAAGAATTGGTAAAATACAAATGAATTTAGGTCATAATACAGTTCCAATATAATTAAAATTTTAAAAACTGGATTGTAGTTATGTCAGATGTGAACGTTAGAATTGGGGCAAGAGGTGTTTGAGAACTCTCTATACAATTTTTACAACTTTTCTGTAAATCTAAAATTATCTCAAAAAAAGCTAAAAAGGAAAAGTAATAGTTGTGTAAACTATTGTCCTCTTTGACAGCATTGCTCTTGATGCATCATCAACAATCCTGAACAAGAAAGACCCATATTTTGTGTACTCTTTTAATATTTTTTTAATAGGTGGTTCTATCTTTAAAGACTAGCTCAAAACTCAGTGTACTTATTAAACTTATTAAATGGAATAGATTTCTCGCTTTCTAAGTATTTGGATTTGAGCCAGAAGTTTCTGGTTCTCCTACCTCTTCATTGTGTTTCTGTCTGGAAAGTTTAGACAGTGGAAGCCTGCCAGTCCTTGGCAGCCCCTCTGCAGACCCCTTTCAGGTACAGTAATAGAGGGAAGTGGAGCTGAGATCCAGGGGCCTCAGAGCAGTAGCTTAAACAGGAGGAGACTGGCAAGGAGTAAGGGAGTTAGAGAGATTTTAGAGCCCATGTTGGGAGTGGTGGTCTGGGTGGATTTGGGAGGGGTGGGAGTTAAGGTAGTGAAGTTGTCTACACAGTCAAACTTTTGAAAGGTGATTCCTCCAAATTCGTGGTTTGAAGCAGACAGGAACTGACAGGTGGAGCCATTGACATTTGAACAGCCTTTTAGCACAAGTGTTTTAGAGTTGATACCTGTGAATGAAGAGGAGACAGTGAGAATTCCTGGCAACAACCCTCCATTTCTCCTTCCCCTCTATTTACCCCCTTTCATATTAATGTTGTTGTTGTTATGTGCTGCTGAGTTGATTCTGACTCAGAGTCACCCTATACTTCTTTAACCCATCTGTAGCCTGCAAGAGGGGTCTGATCCTGAAATGAGGTGGGAGAAAGGAGACCAGGAGCATCAAATGATAATGATAGCCAGTGGAACCACAGAACACAGTGGTCAAAACTCTTATTCCTATATAGCCCTCCAGGAGGCAGGTCAATAGCCCAAGTTTCCAAATGCGGAATGGAGGTAGGCTTAAGAAACCTGATCTGTGTTCCTGTTTATCTGGAGGTGTCAAAAGCCAGGAAAAAGCTCAGCCAGCAGACCTCTGCCTTCAATCCAGTAGTGTGTGTGGTCAGGGCAGAAGGTCAGCAAGCTGGATCGCACCCCTCAGATTTCCATTCTCACAGGCTCTTCTTTCAGTCCCGTCTCCTTTCTAAGCTTGAGATTCCCACTCTGAGAAGAGGGGAAAACAGCAAGAGGAGAGGCAGGGAGACCACAGTGTGTCTACTCTAAAACCTAATTGTGTTTAATGATGTGTTCACATGCAGGTCCTAGAAAAAGAGCAAGGTCATTTGCCAAGCAAATGTGGTTATGCTATTGTCGTTAGCTGTCACTAGAGTTGGTTCCAAACTTATGACAACCCCGGGTATGACTTGATCCACTGTCGTCCCCATACTGTGATCCATAAGGTTGTTATTGGCTGGTTTTGGAAGCATATCACCAGGCCATTCTTCTAAGTCAGTCTTAGTCTGGAAACTCCATTGAAACTCAGCATATAACAATGCACAAGCCTTCACTGACAGATGGCTGATGGCTGTGCATGAGGTCTATGGGCCAGGAACTGAGCCTGGGTCTCACACATTGAAGGTGAGAATCTAGCAGGGAATCACCATTGCCCAATATGGTTGTGCTTGTTGTTGTTGTTGTTGCTAGGTGCCATCAAGTTGATACAGACTCATAGCGACCCTATGAACAACACAACGAAACACTGTCCAGTTCTGCGCCAACCTCACAATTGTTACTATGCTTGGTCCCATTGCTGCTACCACAGCGTTAATCCATCTTTTTGTCTTTCTAGTCTTCTACAACCCTCCACTTTACCAAACATGATATCCTTCTCCAGGGAGTGGTCCCTCCTGAGAATATGTCCAAAGGATGAGAGATGAAGCCTGGCCATCCTGATTTCCAAGGAACAGTCTGCTAGCAGTGGCCTTTTAGGGAGCACTGATTCTGTGCCCTCTAGAACTCAGACAGGCAAAAATAGGGAAGGAGCTGGCTCACAGAGGTAAATAGCAGGCCAAACTGTGAGAGGCAGTGCTGTGATTTGAGTTCAAGTCTACTTGGTTCTAAACTTGCTCTGAGAAGTGGGAAGAAACCTCTCAATTCCAGTGAAGAAAAGAACTCATTGCAACTATATAGCAAATGTCAGGGCTAGAGGTAGACTTAGAGTTAAATGTTGCTTGGCATGTTTGTCAAGTTAAAAAAAAAAGTGATTTTTGGATAAAATCAAACAAGCAAAAACTATATTTAAGATGGCTTTGGTATGTCTGGTTTCCAGCTTATATATAGCCTTGGTGGGAGATGTGGAGAGATGTGGAAAGTATATCCATTGAAGCAGAAGACACCTAAGCAGAAAGAATACATCCTTCAGATGCTGTTGTTATGAGACAAAACTTTCTAATTAAAAATCAGATCAATGTGGCCATTCCAAAGATATTTGAAGCAAAAAAAGGGGGGGGCTGGGAAATTCTGGATAATCCCCATGGTGCTTGAGAATCTCACGAAGAAATCAGAGATTATAATTAAGCATTGATTTCTAATACTATAACTGACATTTAACACACACACAAAAATCAAATTGACCCTGGATGTTAGTACTGCTGGTAACAGAGATTGGTAGGTTGTTCATTTCAATTTCAAATGCCTTTTCCTTTCCTTCTGGGCCAGGCTAGCCACATTGCCTAGTATCTCTTGCAGTCCAAATGGCCATTTGATTGGGTCCCACAATGGAATGTGGAAGGAAGTGAGGCATTCATGTCCAGGTCTGATCCATAAAACCCTTCATACCTTCCTCCACTCCCTCTTTTTCCCACCTGCCATTGAGATGCAAAGATAAAGCACAGACCTATGAAGTCCTAGGAGTCCTGGTGTGGTGCCGTAGGATAAGCACTGGACTGCTGACTGCAAAGTCGACAGTTCAAATTTAATAACCACTCTTCGGAAGCCCTGTACAGGTTCACTATGAGTCAGAACTGACTCAGCAGCACACAAGAACAACAACAACAACAACAACAAAAGTCCTAGGCAAGTGGGGCTAGATGGAAATAGGCCAGACCCCTAGACTCTGCAAAAAACTGCTGAACAAGCAAGAAATAAAAGTCTCGTATTGAGCCTCTAGGATTTATCAGCAATTAATTCTTTAACAGCAATTAACTGGTGATCTTTCTGAAATATTTGCTGTTGAAAATCCTATGGCTCACTGTTCTACTCTGGCACATGCGAAGTTACCATGAGTCAGAGTCAACTCAATGGCAATTATTTTGTGTTTTGCTTTATTGTAACTAATAAATGTATTATTGTTTAACAATCAGGCAAATGGTAGAAATGTGTATTTTATGCCAATACCAAATTACTTTTGAGGAAAATTGTTGTTGTTAAGTACCATAGAGTCGGCTCCGACTCATAGTGACCCCGCATAGGGTTTCCAAGGCTGTAAATCTTTACAGGAGCAGTACACCTCATCTTTCTCCTATGGAACCGCTGGTAGTTTCAAACTGCTGACCTTGAGGTTGGCAGCCTTGGAGTCGGTTCCGACTCATAGTAACCCTGTACTGGGTTTCCAAGGCTGTAAATCTTTTAAGGGAGCAGAAAGCCTCATCTTTCTCCTGTGGAACAGCTGGTAGTTTTAAACTGCTGACCCCGAGGTTCGCAGCCCAATTCTACGCTACCAGAGCTCCTTAAAAGTATCATTAGTTGGTTATTAAATCCCAATTTGATTCTTTATCCAGGTGACCGAAGTTGCTATAAATCTACACTCTCCAATGACAGGTTGTTGTTGTGTTGTTGTTAAGTGCTATCAAGCCAATTCCAATTCATAGTGACCCTAAATAGGGTTTCTGAGGTGGGTGTGAACCACCAACCTTGCAGTTAGCAGTCCAGTGCTTATCCTACAGTGCTATACCAGGACTCCCCAGTGATAAGTAGACAAGGAAAATACAGGTATAAAAGGAAGTAAAATCCCACACACCAAACCTAACGGAATTAAGTACCAGGAGGGATCTGAATAGTGCGTAGTAATGCCCAGGTATGATTAGAGGATGTAGGAGGATAGGGGTTAAAGAGAAGAAACTGCTGTGAACTAAGAAGGCAGAAAGAGCAACCATCTCATGACCACATTAACAGCCACCCAGTCTCAAAAGCTCTAACCATTATGCCCTTGCCCTGCTATCTTTGTTCTTCTCTAATAACCCAGAACTTATGAACCAAGGTTTGACATGTTTCCAACTGGACTTCTATAAAGGAATGGGAACTTCAAGACATACCATTACTAAAGTTTGCAACTATGTCCACACACCGTTCTTCTTTGTAACATTTCCGTTGTTTCACAGAACAGGAAGTTTCATTAGATCCATAACAAGCAGGGCACACCGTATTACCGAGCTCATCTTCCAGTGAAGGGGCTAGGTAGACCAAGAATCATTACTTGAAACATGGTACTTCTATGGAAGGTGAGAGGGGAGGGAAGTAAAGAAGCTGGCCAGAGAGGTTCTAAAAATGTAACAGTGGTATAGTTTCTCATTGCTTTTTTAAAATGTTTTTAACTCTTTATTGTGAGTTGAGTAAAGACTTACAGACAAGATCATCAGTTTTACATTCAACAAATCATTAGACTTCGGTTCATCTCAAGGATTGCAATCACATCCATGCAACAACAGTTATCCTGCTTCCTTCCTTTGGTTCCTATTTCCATTCCACCCTCTTTCCCATCCCTTCTGAACTTTGTCCTCAGGTAAATGTTGTCCTTTTGATCTTGAATGATTGACCATTCCATGGTGAACATACCTTACTGGCATTGTTGTCCCCACTATATATCCATCTACTGCTTGGCTGAAAATTGGGCCACAAAGGTGAGTTCCATTCCAGATCAGAAGAGAGGTCAATGGTCATAGTCTCAGGTTCCTGAGACCAGTACGATTGCTAGTGGTAGCCAAACACCATCTAGTTCTTCTGGTCTCTGAGTCACAGTTACTAATGTTTACCTGCTTGCTTGGTTCATTGGATTAACTGATTCCAAGCATCTTCAATTTTCATCACTCTTATTTCTTTCACACATAGAGAGACCAATATTTGCACTTTAGAAGGTCAGTCACTCATGAGCTTTTAAGATCTCATACACTACTCACCAAAGTAGGATGTAGCACATTGTCTTTGTGGACTACATTATGCCAGTTGATGAGGGCATCCCCTGAGACTATGGTCCTGAATTCTCAGGCCCAGCAACTCATTACCTTAAAAAGTATTTGATAATAGAAATTTATCATTTTGAAGGTGGCTTCTAATTTCATCCTTGAAAACTTAGATCTTGTCTGAAGACACCAGTTATCCATCACCTGCTCATAACCCATGTACCTTCCCTTAAAGACAATCCAATCTCTCAGGTGAATTAAGTAGTACATACCTGACAACAGTGAAAAGTGTGTCAGGGTACAGGTTAAAAAAATCATAGCTAAGGTTTCTAGTTAAAAACAATCAGTAGTTCAGGTCAACATTAGTCAACGTGTATGTGTACACTAAATCTTGTTCTGAGTAGTTGAACACAGACTTTTGTGAACATTGGGACTAGTAGAAAAAAATTTACATTGCATCTCAGCTCTGGTTTTAACTAATTGTGCTATACAACCACAGCCAATTAACTTTGTCTTTTTAGTTTGGTTTTTCCTCTTCAAAAGAGCAGCAGTTCTCAAATTGTGGTCCAGAAAGCCCTAGGGATCCTTAAGACTCTTATAGAGGTCAACAGGTTAAAACTATTTTCATAATAATACTAAGACATTATTTTCATTTTTAACTCTCATTCTTTCATGGGTGTACAGTGGCATTTTCCAGAGCTATGCAACATATGACTAAATGCAGAAGCAAATATGAGAATCTGTTGACTTATATTAATTCAGAAATTAGAGAGACTAGAGAAATATATACTAATAACACTTTCTCATTAATTTGTTTTTGTTTGCAAAACTATTTTCATGCAACATGTTATTAAAGGTAACGTAACAGATTTATTTTTGTTGCTATTAGCAATAAATGTCTTTAAATTTCTTAGATTTAATTTATAATAAACTAATTACCAAGAAATAGAGCCCATATAAACAAAAGTGCTTTGGGCTTCTCAGTCATTAAGATTAAGACTGTAAACTGGTCTTGAGATCAAAAAGTTTGAGAACTACTGATGAACGTCTAATATGCCTTCCAGAAAATACTTATGCAACTTGGAGTGTTTATCAATTTAGTCTACTGAGAAAGGGAGGAAACATAGCAGCAGTGCTGTTTGCCCCATTTTTTTTCTCAAATAATTAGTGTTTAAGTCAAGTAGCATGCTATCCAGATATGCACTTAAGTGCCTGGATATGTAATATCCACCCAAAGGTGAGGAGCACAGGTGAGAAAGGAGCTGGGAGGATACAGGGAAGGAAGGCTGGTAGCACTCACAGCACCCACCAGAGGCATTTTTGGTGTTGCAGTCATCTCCTCGGCAACATTGGCTCGCAAACTGAAAGTACATTCCATCAGACACATGGACAGTGAAGGCTGCAATCACTTTCTCCTCCTCACTGCACTCCTCTGCAGAGCAGGACTTATCCTCGTACAAAGTGATGTTTCCTCCTACACAAAGTCAAACACTGACTGTCAGTCCCAGTAAAGGTGACTGAAACCCTGAGAAGAAACTCTTTCAGGCAAAGGCAAGTAAAGCAACTTCAGTTTAATGTGATTTTGGAGACACTGGACAGGGTTTCCTACAAAAAAGAAAAGTCTTTCGCCATCAGTTAGTTCCTAGGTCCAGGAGGAAATGATCAGGTATTCATGTTAAACTCTAGGTTAAAGGCTGATGGGTAGATCAAGTTGACACTCCTGAACCACTAGTCAGTCTCAGTATTAACTAGATACGATGGGCTTTACGTACAATGTGACATCCCCAGCACCACTTGTAATAAGTCCCTATCTGAGTTTAGCCAAGTCTCTGTCCAATATTGTAAATACTACTTATGTGTGGATGTTAAATTTTAAATCTAAATAAATTAAAATTAAGCAAAATTTAAAATTCAATTCCTCAGTCAGACAACATAATTTAATGGCTCTACGGCCAACAGTGGCTGGTAGCTACCATATTGGACAATGCTGACAGAGACATTGTCATCATTGAAGAAAGTTCTACTGGAAAGTGCTAATCTAGTTCATAAAGAAAACAGAAATATGTTAAATACCACTACAAGAAAACAATCTACCAAAGTCAGAATACAGGATAACTACAAAACAATGGTCCAGTTTCTCCAATAAATCAATGACATTGACCAAAAAAGGCATGAGAGATGTTATAAAATATAACAACAGATTTAATGGTGAAATACAATGGGAACCTTTTGTTTGGATCCTAATTCTAACATCACATCTGTAAAACCATCTTTGAGACAAATGAGGTATTTTTAAGATTGAGTAAGTAGAAGAAATTAAAGAATTACAGTTAAATGTTTAGGTGTGTGAGCGCATGATGGTTATTTTAAAAGAAAAAAACAACAACAAAGGAGAAAGACCTATCAGATATGAATATTTAGGTATTTATGGGGAAAATGACATGGTGTCTAGATTTGCTTTAAACATGAGGGTAAGTCAAAAAGTATTGCTATAAAAAAATCAAAATCTGAAGCTATCTCAACATATCATCCATCTAGGTCTAGACATTTCTGAAGGCAACATTTCCATCTCTCTAACTCTTTTACAAAGAATTCTGTGCTCATCCACTGATGTCCTGTCAACACAGTAGCTTTAGCTTCAAGGAACTCACATTGTATTCTTTTTAAATGTTCTTTAAGTTTGGATTACAAAAAGAAGTCTAAAAGGTCAAGATCAGCGTTGTGTGTGGGAAGGGGTGGGGAGGTGTAAGATTTCCCAAGGGAATTCTCACAGGACAGCCCTAGCTACCCTCAAAGAATGAGCAGGTGCATTGTCATGATGAAGGGGGAAAAAATTCCTTGGCACAGCTTTCCTGATCGTTTTCTCACCTATGCAGTTTTCAGTTTTCTTAAAATATCTTCCTAATAAGTCCCCTTGATCATCCTGTATTCTTTGAGAAAATATATCATGATTACTCCCTTCAAAGTCCCCAAAAGTCATAACCTTCTGAACTGACCTCTCTGCCTGAATTTAACTGGCCACTGTTTAGATTGAGCACTTTTTGTGCGTGGTGCTATGGGATAATGCACTGGACAACTAGGTCAGTTTGAACTGAAAAGTCTGCAGTTCAAATTCATCAGCCGCTTCTTGGAAACCCTATACAGGGTCACTGTAAGTCTGAGCCAACTCAGTGGTGCTGAACAAAAACAATGAGATGAAGACAGGTGTTTTACTGAGAGAATTTGTATGCAGCCGTCCATTGATCACAGAGACATGTTTAAGTATGTTTTGTTTGGAATAAACCCATGCACATACGAACTAGAACCATAGTAGCAATATTTTTAAACTTACATTCATATTAAGACAAAAAAAAAAACTAGTATAAAAGCAAAATGCTGATAATTGTTAACATGGATGGTTATATGGCAGTTCATTATAATCTTTTTTGCTTTTGTGTGTATTTGAAAATATACCTAATAAAAAGTTGAAATCTAAGTGCTCTGAGAGATTACAATCCTGCCAAGAAAATATCTATGAGAGCATTTTGACTGAAGTCATGTTTGATCTGGAACAGAAAGAAACACCAAGGCAGAAAATAATGGAGCAGAAAAATGGAGGGATGCAAACATCCAAAGAAACCTGCCTGCTTTATAATTTAAGAGTCACCCTGCTTCTCATACCCAATAATGTCTATCTAGAATAAGGTTTTGATCTGGACCAGCATTTTCCAAGAAGGCAGAGGACTTGTATGCTGGCCAGATTTCCTATCCTTGTATTCCATATCTAACACCTCCATGTCTTGCTTATAATGTGCTGCTTCTCCTATGAATACACCCCAGTGGCTTCCTCTGTGCACAGCCCTGGCTTGACCTCCACCTTCCTTTCTTCCTTGGCCACCTAATCCACTCCCTGCCCAGTGCAAGTCCCCGGCGTGGAAGTGATTAGTATCCCGGACTAACCTAGAGTGGAGTTCACCATGGAGCTGGTACAGCTGGAGTTGGTGTCATTGGAACATTGAGAGGCAGTAGAACTGTTACAAGTGTTGTTCAATGAATTGCACTGCGTACAGTTCAGAGATTCTAGGGAGATAAAATGTCAAGCATCAGTCAACATGCAATAGGTATTTATAGAATATTCTCTATGAAAGTTACTGCAACCCACCTCTAGAGTAGAGATAGACAGGATGGTGCCCCTGCTCTCTAAGGACTCCCCAAACTAATGGAGCCACCCCCATTAGTTTCTGCCCATTGTCCACCTTTCCTGTCACTTCCTGGACCAGCATTCCCTGTGGGGAGACTCAACCTTGACCCTCAGAGAGCTCCCCTGAGGGATAGTGCACACAGAGGGGTCTCACATTCTCCAGTGACCACATCCTGATGTGAGAGGTGAGGTGACTTGGGAAAGATGAATAAGGGCCCCATAATGGGACCATATGACTCATCTCACCTACAGTCACAATGGTGAGCACAGCAATGATACCAGCAATAAGAATTCTCTTCATGGTAGCAGTGATGGTTTCTCTTTAGGATTATGGTAACAGAGCCTCAAGCCTAAAAAGACACAAAGAAGGCAGCTTCTGAGTCTTGCTATCACCAAATCATGTTAATCACCCTGCAACAAACCCAGTGCTCAGTTAGTACTTGTGACAGAAGTTCAGAATCCTCAGTTATGGAGCACATGATCAGTTGCAAATTAGAATCCATAAATTTTCACTGATTGCTTTTCAGAAGTGAACCACCATCAGTTCTTTCTTTCTAGTCCATCTTTTAGTCTAGAAGCTCTGCTGAAACCTGTTCAGCATAATAGCAACATGAAAGCTTCCACTGACCACAGGTGGTGGCTACTCATAAATCAGGAATTGAACTTGGGTCCTTCTCATAGAAGGGTAGAGTTCTAACACTGAGCCACCAATGCCCAGTTGTGGCCTCTTATCATCCAAGTTTTCTAATCCCTAATGCCTGGCATGGCACTGTAGGATAAGCACTGGACCACTATATAAGGTCAGTTTGAATTACAAGGGCGACAGTTCAAACACACCAGCCACTCCTCAGAAACCCTATACAAGGTCGCTATGAGTCAGAACCGACTCAATGGCACTTGACAACAATGCTTGTAGAAGCAACTATGTTGTTGTTGTTGTTAAGTACAATGGAGTCGGTTCCGACTCATAGTGACACTGCACAGAGTTTCCAAGGCTATAAATCTTTACAGGAGCAGAAAGCCTCTTCTTTCTCCCACGGAACAGCTGGTAGTTTCGAACTGCCAACCTTGAGGTTAGCAGCCTACATAGATATACAACGCAGCCCAGCAGCATTTCCTGTGGAGCCACTTCCTGTATAAAATGGGCAGGCTAACCCATCAGGGATCTCATCCAAAAATATAGAGCAGGATTGAGTTCTTTTTCATCATCTTCTCCCCCAGAACAAGATGCCCATTCTCTAGCTTGTATCTAATTGTATTCAAATTACGGATTTAGGAGTCTCTCACAAAGGCTGATACTGACAGAGCATTTATTCTATAGTGAGCATTTCAAATGAAATAATTTATGTAATTCATTGATCCTGTGAAGACTAAGGTGCACCTGATCCAAACCATGGTATTTTCAATAACCTCATATGCATGCGAAAGCTGAACCGTGAATAAGGAAAACCATAGAAGAATTGATCCTTTGAGTTATGGTGTTGGAGGAAAATACTGAAAGTGCCATGGGCTGCCAAAAGAACAACAGATCCGTGTTGGAAGAAGTGCAGCCAGAATGCTTCTTGGAGGCCAGGAGGGCCAAACTTCATCTCTCATACTTTGGACATATTGTCAGAAGAGACCAGTCACTAGAGAAGGATATCATGTTTGGTAGGGTGGAGGGTCAGAGAAAAAAAGGAAGTACCCCAGCAAGATGGATTGGCAAAGTGGCATCATAAATGGGCTCAAGCGTGGCATCAGTTGTAAGGTTGACCTAGGACAGGGCAGTGTTTCGTTCTGTTGTGCATAGGGTTGCTATGAGTCGGTACCAACTCAATGGCACCTAACAACAACAACAATGAAGCATCACTTTATAGAGTAGGAAATTGAAGCCAAAAAGGTTAAGTATCACACCAATGTCAAGGTCTCACTACTGAGATGTGTTATAGCAGGGGTCTGACCCAGATCCTAACCACCATTCCATGCTGTGTCCTTTCCCTGTCTGTCCTTGAAAATTGCTTGTCTGAAAATTGTCCAAGTTAGAATTTAGATGACTGCAAAGGTTTAATTGGTACAAATGGCAGAGTACTCATCAAAAGATAGGCAGTTTGAACCCACCCACAGGGGCCTTGGGAAACACACCTGGTGCTCATTTTTATAAAGATTGCTGTTGTTGTTAAGTGCCATCCAGTTGGTTCTGACTCACAGAGACCCCATATAGAGTTTCTGAGAAGTGGCTGATGGGCTTGAACTATTGACCTTATGGTTCGAATTCATTGCTTATCTCACAGCACCATAGCAGGACTTCTCTATATAGTCTTGAAAATCCTGTGGAGAAGTTCTATTTTATACAAATGGGGTCTTTATGAGTTTATTTGATTCCACGGTAACTTAAAAACAACAATAAGGTTTCTGTATAATTATTAGGATCCTAAGTCAGAGCTCCTGAATTTCAACTTGCCCATGTATCAAAGCAGGATACATTTATGGCTCTACAATTAGTCCTTCCTAATCACTCCTAAAGGAGTTCTGGTAGTGTAGTGGTTACAAATCGGGCTGCTAACTTCAGGGTCAGCAATTCGAAACTACCAGCTGTTCCGTGGGAGAAAGATGAGCCTTTCTACACTCGTAAAGATGTACAGCCTCGGAAACCCTGTGCAGGGTCGCTATGAGTCAGAACCGACCACCGCACATAGCCACCAACCACCAAATCATTCCTAGGAGTCATGGTGTAGTGCTGTGGGTTAATGCACCAGACTGCAAAGCCGTTTGAACTGCTCCTCAGAAACCCTATACAGGGTCGCTATGGGTCGGAACCAACTCGACTGGCACTTCACAACAAAAATAACAATCATTCCAAATCATTATCTCCTTTAATCTTCCCAGCCATGAGAAACATGTAGCTATTTAAATTTAAATTATTGTTGTTGTTACATGCCGTTGAGTCCATTCCAACTCATAGCAACCCTGTATAGGGTTTCCAAGGAGCAGTTGGTGGATTTGAACTGCCAACCTTGTGGTTCACAATTCAGTACTTATCCTACAGTGCCACACCAGGAGTCCAAATTTAAATTGGTTGAAGTAAAATCAAATTCAAAATTGTGTTCCACAGTGGTGCCAGCCACATTGCAAATGCTCAGTAGCCATCTGTGGCTAGTAGCTATTGTACTGGCCTGTGAAAATAAGGAATGTTTTCACCACTGTGGAAAGTTCTTTTGGACAGAGTTTCTATGAAGAAGACTAAACTAAAGCTTAGCGAGATAATGAAAGCTGCCCAAGTCACTCAGCTTGTAATACCAAAATTAGAAGGTAAGCCTGGTCCTTCCAGCTCTAAAGCTGCATAATTGTAACTGTATTAATTAATTAAGGCAGAATTCACCTAAGGCCTGCAGTCCCTTTCCCCGCCTCACCATACCATGCCATATCACATATGTACATAGCACACCACACACATACATGTACCCCAACACACCCACCTTACAACACACATAATACACACACATCATCACCACAGCACAGCACACCGCAGCACACCTCATCATTACACACAAATCATGCTACACACACCCCCCACATAATTTACCATGCCACAAACACTATACCACACATACACACACCTTATCACACAACATATCTCACCACACACACTCACACACCATCACCCCAATACACACACACACACTACACACAAATACCACCACAATACATATCACTACACTGCACCGCACACACACAGTGAAGTAAAACACACACACAGCACTGCACTGGGACCCCAGGTTGAGTTACAGATCTTGTAACAAAAGAGTAACCGTTCAATCAGGAGAAGCGGTCCCACCTGTTGTCGAAATGGCCCTACCCTTTAAAGATATAAGAAGAAAAATAAAATATGTCTTTTTGGAGCTTATAGTAGATGTGCTCTGCATCCTTCATGGGCCAGGTCACCCCTCCAGGAGCAGAAAAGTTTATAGCAGTGAAAATTTTCAATAGTCAGGCCTACTGTGCAATGCTTATCAAGCTTTATTTGTTGATACAAAGGAAAGGAAGTAAAAAAAAAAAGGATACGAGATCACAAGAACATTAATAGACCTGATTTTTATAATAATTTTTCAGAGGTAAATAGAAAAGGCACAGAGAGATCAGGAACTTGTTCAGGGACACACAGCAAGAGAGGCAGAGACTGGAAGTGATCCAGCAGCAGTATCCAGGGCTCCTAATCACTGCTCTGTAGACACTGCCTCTTTGAAGAGGGAATGGTATGGTTTAGAACAAGGAGTTCTTGTTATGGATTGAATTGTGTCTCCCAAACTAATGTATGTGGTGCTGTGGGTTAATGCACTAGATTGCAGTCTGTTTGAACTGCAAGGTCGGTTGTTCAAGTTCACCAGCGGCTCCTCAGAAATGCTACACAGGGTCACTATGGGTTGGAACCAACTCTACGGCACTTAACAACAACAATAACAAGTCTCTATGCCTGTGGGGCTTTAGGATAAGCACTGGACTGCTAACCACATGGTCAGTGGTTCAACCCCACCAACTGCTCGTGGAAACCATATACAGTGTCTCTATGAGTCTAAACCTACTCTACAGCACACAACAACAATGTCTATGGTTAAAATCCCATTTGGGAATGGGTTATTGTTTTTATGGTAATAAGATAGAATAGTGTCCTATGTCCTGAATCAAGCTTTTTGAGATTTAAAAGAGATATTGATGTGGTGCCATAGGATAAGCACTCCACCTCAGGGCTGGTTTGAACCACAGGTTGGCAGTTTAAACTCACCAGCCTCTCCTTGGAAGCACCATAGAGGGTTGGTATACATCAGAAGTGACAAGATGGCACTTAACAACAATACAAGCGAGCAAAGGTAACAGAGTTGAGAGAAGAGAGAGACCAAGCCACATGAAGATTGCCCAGGAAGCAGAAGCTCAGAATAGCCAAGGACCTTCCTCTAGAGCTGATAGTGAAAGAAAATTTTCTCCTACAGTCAGTACCCTGAATTTGGACTTCTAGACTCCTAAAATGTATGACAAGAAATGTCTGTCTATTAAAGCCATCCATATGTACTATTTCTGTTATAGCAGCGTTAGATAACTAACATCTCACATGGTAATTAAATTCCTTCCACTCATTCATTTCATCTTTTTAATAGTCTGGGAATTTCTTACCACAATTGCTCTTACCTTACACAAAAGAAAATCAGAGCACACAGAGAGACAACTAACACACCATGTACCCAAGCCCATGACCTCTTATTTCTTCAGCCTTCCCTCTCGTAAGCATGCTACACCATACAACAATGCCAAGGGATGAAGAGCCACAAG